TTATTATTTATTTATTTTATCACAACAATAAAAATATTTGGATAATTAAATCCTATAAAATTGTTATTTATTTATTCATAGAAGGTGCAATTCATTTTTTTATTTTTATGATGACGTAAACTAAAAAAATTTGGAAATCGCTGCTATATATTTAAAAATACATATATAAGGGGGGGATAAACTGTGTCCAGCAGACTCGATATGTAAATATTATAAACAGTAGCCAGCGGAATTAATAGTTGGCGGAATCGATGTGTAGATATTTTAAACAGTAGCCGGCGGAATCAATACAAATCTTTTTTCTAAACAAGTAGTTATGGCGGAATCAATAATTCCCAACTTCCCGTTCTTGGTAATGAAACGATGATGACGATGACCAATTATTAATTACCAGATTTGAACTCACCATGTGTCTCGGAGAATCGGCGTGCTTAGCTGGATGACGATGATGATAATAATCGCAAGAGGTTCAGCAACGACGCTAGATACCAACCACGTGAATTGTGGCGGACAGTAAAAGTGTCACAGTGCAGATGTAGGAACGACCGGGTAAAAAACATCACCGAATAAATAATATAACAGATACTCGACGTTTTGCGGTAAAAACCCGACGACACACATGCGACGTTTTAATACGATCTGTACGGCTAATAAAACCGAACGGCGACACCAAAAAAAAAAAAATTATGCAACTACAGTCACGTCGTTGTTGAGAGCGGTGAAAAAGATAGTGACACAAAAGTTCGTAGTGTCCGAAAAAGCCGATTCGCGACGGCGACACGCACGATAACGATGCACGGCGCGGAGGGTGGAGGGTACGAACAGCTGTCTCTTGTTGTGCAATATTGTTTATGTTCGAACACTGTATATTCACTTATTGGACGAAAATATTTGGTCAGGCGTACTTGACAAAATCACAGAAACCCTGTAGATAAAAAAAACACTTAATTTGCTCACTAAAGAAGTCCAACCAATGACCTTAAGAGTAAAGTACACCTTAGAACTACCAAATTATGCAGTCCAAAATACTGCAAATTACGTCGTGTATACTCTTTTTAACTCTAGCAGGTACAAAATAAGGCTCGGATTCAGGATATTTATTAGGGAGGAGGTCTTTTATATTATTATAAACGTCATATTACATAATTATAAATCAAAATGTATTAGAGTTGTTGAACTATGAAGTTCATCTTATATTAGTTTGCATTAAAAAAAAAGTAATTTTTCAACCAACAAATCTTATTAAAATTGGATATTTACGCGTAAAATAATGAATAAAATATATTGATTAAACAATTTTAGTTTATTTTTGTTGTAATTAAAAAGTATTAATCATAGAATGAAATACTTTGCTGTTCCTTAAATAATCTTTTTATACAGTCAATGGATTTTCAATATATTTGGATTAATTTTTAATTATTTATAGATATTTAAATTTTTGGAGTTTTTAGTGGTTTTTTTAAGTGCTGACAATCAATTTTAGGCTTATTTAAAAAGCTTAAAAAAATTATTTAAAGTTTAACTCTCAATTATAAATTCGTTCAAATTTAATGAAATACACAACTCGCAAACGAACAATAAATTGTAAAAGATGTTCGTATTAAAATGTATACCTATATTGTGATTATTGTTTTTTGAGTGGTATATTTATTTTGAGTCAAATCGATAGCACAATATACGAAAATTGACCTCACAGAAACAACTACAATTATTAACACTTTAAAAACTTATTTTAAATCTATATCAATCAGTAATCACTAAAACCTAGGCGCAAAAAGTATTTTAGTGATCAGGTTTATAGAATATTGTTTTATATTCATAACGATAATCTCCGAAACAGTAAGTACTACTGTAAGTGCCTGTTTTAATGCGCATTTTACAGTGAAATGTAACAATATAATTTATTTACAAATCGACATTGACACTAATGACATTTAACAATTCATGAAGTCGAATTCATAATAATAATTAAATAAAATAATTTTAAGCGTGGTCTGTGATGTCACGAAAGCTGTTTGAGGTATTTTTGTTTTAGGCCAAGCGACGATGCTATAATATTTGAGATCAGTTTACATTAATTTGTATGCACCGCCCGGTATAATCAATGTATCATATTTCTTTTTTTCTTCTATAATTGTACAGGTAGACATTTTGAAATGAGCATTAAAAGTTCATTATTAATAATTGTGATTTTCGACAATTTCTTCGTCTATCTTTACGTTTTATAATAATTTATACACACAACTGCCATTACAACCCCCCCGAAATCTTTTCATACGGTCAGCGACAACTACGATTATAACGTCGTCGACGTCGTTTATACGCACGTAAGCGCGCGCACACGTGTATATTGCACTGGAATAACGGTGTGCACGGTTTACTTCCAACCGCGTCTGCAGCGACAGTAATAGAACGACGACGTTGGCGGCCGCGGAGGACAACCGACGGCACGCAGGAGACTATGAGACAGCATCCGTTTAGCGACCGAATTGTAGTGCGGCGAACCGACAGCCGCGACCAGTGACGATGGAGAGCGCCGCCGAGTGCATTGGAATGATAGTGTCACCGCCGAGAGTGGACCTCAACGACGATCGGCCGTTCCACGCGAATGCATAACGCTCCTGTTCGTTTGTTCCGCAGCGCGCAAACGGTATATTGGCGCGCGTCGAGTGACCGTTTCAGTTGCAGTGTCTGCACGTGGCGCAGTCATGCGCCCCTCCCCATTGGGGCTGTAAACCGCGCACTGCCCCACCGGTTTACACTCAGACCCAGATCGATTCACCCGTCCCACGGCGTTGTTAGTATATAACTCGAGCCCGCATTTACCAACTACCCCGCGGCTCGCATTTCCGCGTGTTTATGCGTCCGATAATCTGACTTCATCCGTCCATCGTCGGAACCGGTCAGTCGGGTTCCGAATTTTGACGATTTTATTCAATTGATTGGGCCACGGAAAAAAAAGTAATTGGTTAGTCGAGTCCCGGAAAAAGTTAAAAGGTTGTAGGTGAATCCGAGTCCCAGGGAAAAAGCTGCACCTATCGGTATAAATACGTTTTTGTTCCTTTTTCGCTGTTTTTAGTAAATCTATGTTTTGCGTATAGTGTATGTATAGTGAAGAATTAATAGTTAACAGGTACCGCAGCTAGAAGATGATCTATTAAATCTCGCAACAGTATGAAAGAAGTTAATAATTCGAACCTTTCAGTCGGTGATTTAAAATTGAAAAAAGATTAGCTTAGCGTTTTTGTTATTGTTATACATAAAGCATATGCATAGGCTTAACCATAGAGTGTTATTAATTCTTTCAAGATTATTAAATCATTTTGTAACGGTAGTAACTGTTTTTTGATTTTCAAGGAAGGTCTAAATTCAAATTTTTAATACCGGTTGCGCCAATGCGATGTAACACTAGCACCCTGATTACCTTCAAAATTATTTTCAAAACTAACTAAAACAGGAATATCAAAAGACAATATTATGGTTATATATACTCATCAATGTATTTAGTAATAATCATAACACCAATTATTGTATCCAAGTACACTTTAGGATCTGAGCCAATAAACGCAATTATTATTTCACTTAAATAAGTAAGTATCAATTCATATTGACTAATTTGAAGTTGTCTAATTTATATATTGATGCTTTATAGGTTCTAATAAGTTCTATCATCTTATTAAGAATCCAAGAGTGGATAAAGTTGCTTTATTCGATCGATTTAAATTACACCATTGAATGCACTTTCAAAATTAGGGGTATCATTTTCAACTTTTTAAAAAATTTTAAATTCGAAAAATGTTCAATAAATTATAAGAGCTATTATTCTTTATCCAATTCAAAAAAAAATAAAATATAAATCAACTATAAATAATTTTTTATGTATTTTAAATTCTGATCAATTAATAGCAGATTTATAAATAATTCGATAGTATATTTTTGTCCTGATAGGTTAGGTTGTTTATAATATAGTAATAAAAAAAGGACTGGTATTTTTTTTATATAACATTTTGAATTTGAACAGGCTAGTGTTTTTTTTTTATTTATCTTTATATGATACCAAAGCTTTGAATCATATATGGCCTATTTGTGTGTTATACCATAACAATCATTAAAAAATTAATTTATTTTGTTGGATTTAATTTAATGATTTCTTGCTATTGATATAATTAATTAGTAAAGTATGTAAGTAATAAATCCATTAATCAAATTTCAATTTTTTCCCCCCATTGCAGCGTGTAAAATGAATGGAAATAGTTTATTTACAGTTTTAGGCAATAATCATAAAAATGGGTCACAGGAAATACAACAATAACTTTATAAGTTAGCAATATTTGTACAAAAAACTAGATCATAAACAAATAACATATTTAGCTAGTTAAGCATTCATCGTATATTTATTTAATACTTAATCAGGTCAAACTCGCCTATAAAAAGAGAGATGACCAAGGTGCTATTAAGACTTAAGTTATAATTTATAATCTGTATGTCTATTTTTGTATGAAATCTAGGTATTATTTAAAGGTTTTAATTATTGTTCGTATTATTATTGTTGATTGTACTTAAAATTATTCTTAACTTATGATAACATTTTTTTTTTGTATGATGCTGAGTTAACTTTATTCTAATATATTATTAGATTTTATCTTTATTTTTAATTAACGTTCTTTTATATTTATTTTTTTAATAAAGTGTTTAAGTGTGTGAATTTAAATATTACATAAAATTAATATTTTATTTAAATTTATATTTACTTTAATTTAAAGTTGAATTACTTAAACTAATAACTAATAACTGCTTTAAGATTTACAATAAAAAAAGAAAGTATTTTTTTGGAAACAGAAGTTTATATTGACGCATGATACTCTGTAATAAAAAATTTAAAATTTTGAAAATATGACAATTACGTATGTATATATTTATAAATGTATTTATATGTTTTGCCAGTTACCTTGTGGTTTTTATAATTTAATCAACTCAAAATTATTTATTGAAATATAAGAATCATGTTGTTATATAATTGATATTTTTTTAAGCTATTCAACTATGACTAGCTACTAATCTGATGGCATTGAATGCGATTTTTACTATGTTGCAAGCCATGAAGGATAAGATTCAAAACAAATATATCTAGTTTTACATTCTCTTTAGTATAAATAGTGAAGCGATCGGTACAAATTCTTTTTTTTCAACTTGCGTTTATCTTGAATCACACGCGTAATATAGCGAAGAATCAACGTCATGACTGTACCAAAATTTGGAGATGAACAACAAAAACCTGCGGTAGTGACAGATGATTCGAATTCAGTTGATAAGCCAAATTTGAAAGGAGATTGGTTGAATTTTTTCCTATTGATGTTACTGTACACGATGCAAGGCATACCATTAGGTATAGCGTCAGCAATGCCGATAATTTTGCAAAGCAACAAGAATGTTACTTACAAAGATCAAGTAAATATTTGTTTTGACACATTAAAAATTGTGTACCTACCTAATATCTATACGATTGTATACGATAAATTTAATGTCTAAAACAATTGATTTCAAATCTACGAATTTATACACTTGGCTGTTATAACATGAACGTGGTTATATACTGTTTCAGGCTTTATTTAGCTTAGTAGCATGGCCGTTTAGCTTAAAACTGATATGGGCCCCTTTGGTAGATGCTCTCTACGTGCAAAAGATGGGAAGACGAAAATCTTGGCTTATACCGGTTCAATATTTAATGGGTGCGTGTTTTAATACGAGTATAAATATCTATGTTACTTACGCATATTAAAATGAGAAACGAGTATCTCTTTAGATTAATTTATGGTTTATTTATATTAGCTGCATTCGTATGCAATTGTTAGTATGTATATTTTACGAATCCAAACATTTTAAAAACACTTATTGAATGTAATAGTGATATTTAATTTTTTTAATATATAGTATACACAGTTTACTTGTATTTAGTAGAGGATTTCTATAATTAAAGCCATTTGTGTTGAACAGGAGCATGTTTCATTTATATGGCTAGTAACATCGATGAATGGTTGCCAGAAACACAAAAACCGGATATACTGAAATTAGTATCCGTATTTTTCTTCGCGAAAATCTTGGCTGCCACACAAGATATAGTCGTCGATGGTTGGGCGTTAACAATGTTGAAGAAGTCGGTGTTATTTTTAACTATTTTTATTATTCCGAATAGGTATAACAACATAATGAATAATACATTTAATTTATTTTCACAGGAATAATGTGGGCTATGCGTCTACTTGCAATGCAACGGGCCAAGTGATGGGTATAATGTTAAGTTCTGTATTTTCTGTCTTGTTAACGTCAGAAGACTTTAGCAACAAGTACTTACGGATTAAGCCAGATGTCGGAGGAGTGTTCACCATGAAGAGTAAGCGAATAAAACTCATTTTAGTAAATCTTTAGTGGATAATAAAAAAAAAACTAATTGTCAAAATATAAAATATTTATTATTTCTTAATTTGTATAGGTTTATTCTATGTGTGGGGTATTCTATTTATATTAATAACGTCATTGATTGCAATTTTTAAAAAAGAAAAAGATAACAGACTAGAGGATGACCACGTAAAGCTCAACATTGTTCAAAATTATTCACTACTATGGGACATTTTAAAATTACCAAATATTCAATTATTGGCAATATCATTGTTGACAGCTAAGGTAATATCTAAACCTAATAAAAGCATTAGTAATTACATAAACCGATTAATTAAACTTTTTTACAAAATCCGGGGGTTTTAGAAATATTTTACTCTCGTTGGTTTCATAATTAATAAAATTAATCCGTTCTCTAATATATATTATTTATTTAAAGTTAACATACTTATTTATATCATTATTTATTGAACTTTTATAAAGCTCTGTTGTGATAATAGTTTATTACACTTCATGAAATTGTTTTTGTATTACAATTTAAATAAAATTTTTATTATTTCTTTATTTTAATCAGTAACAATGTGTATTACGTATTTTGGTATTAAAGATTGGATTTGCTGCAACTGACAGTGTGTCGATATTAAGACTCATTGATGCGGGAGTACCGAAAGACAATATTATGGTTATACACACAACCATGTTTGCTGTAAAGATTATTTTGCCACTTATAATAGCAAAATACACTTCTGGTCCGAAACCGATGAACGTATACCTATCAGCAATACCCGTCAGGTAGATAAACCTAAATATCTATCATATTTGAGGATATGATTAAAAATAATAATAATAAATAGTAACAACTGTGTTTAGTTATTAACAATATTATAATTATGAAATACCTAAACCACAATTAGGGTAAACCAATAAGTGGATATACATATCGACTACGATTATGTCATCTTCTATAGTTCCATTTGACAATTGGGTTAGACAGTGGGTAACATAGTGTTCCGATGGTAACTAAATCAATATAGAAACAATTACCTATTCCTAATTATTTGCTTTTTGCGTAGCATTTACATTATAGATAAAATACTTTTTATGGTTTAATTGTTTAATTGTGTATTTGAAATCTTCTATACCATGAAAAATTGAAAGCATAATATCTTTGTCCAGTGGGGGTAGTAACCATTAATAAATATATACTGTAACCGGAATGTGGCAAACAACTACGTATCATCTAAAGATAATAATTTTTGTGCTTATAATTCTATACAAACATACAGTAGTAATATTTCTATACGTTACATAATATAATCATTGTATAACCTAAGCTATATTGTTTCATTAGAGTGTGTCCTACTGTGTCCTACTGTGTCCTACTGTGTCCTACTAAACCTGTATCGAAAGTTAATTAATATTTAGTATTTATGAAATTGTAGTGTCAAAATATTTCATTGATTCTCATACGCCACATATATTACATACAAATATATGATTACCTAAATGTTAATTCTAAATTAACACTCATAGAGGCTTTTTTAATTAAAAATAAAAACAGGTACCTGTATAAGATTGTTGAGATTTTACGTTTAGATTTGGAGACAACGTAAGTATTGGATTTATACAAGGATTTGTGTTTTTTTGATAAGTATTTTCAAATGAAAATAAATACTAAAAAGATCCTTAATTTTTTTTTTCTGGCTTATATAAGAAGTTATCACTATAGCTAGAGATAAAATGTAAAAATTTACCAGTATTTTTTAAAAACACGCAGTAAAAATGTAATTCTTATATTATAAAGATATACTTATGAGTAGGTATTTGTTTTTTTTACAACATATTGACAATTCTTTAAAAATATTGATTTTTTTTTAATTTCATGATTTGTTATTGATTTCAAGTAATGACCTAAATATTTTTTATTATTATTAAAATTAAACACCAATGGTTTATGAAATAAGACGTTAATATTTGTTGTAATAAATTATTGTCATTATTAAATTATTTTAATAGTTTTTAACAATTTTTTGACACTTTTAATGTAAATTAAAAATTATCGAACAATTTAAAATTCTGAATAGAGCGAGAAATATATTGGTTTTACAATGATATATATATATATTATATATATTTTAAATACAATAAAATTGTTGTATCTGTGATCTTATTATGACACAGAAAATTTGTTCTGTAAAATTTTCAACATTGAGGATAATTTTTAAACCAATTTTAATATAAATTTTAGTTTAATATTTATTGTACAGAAGGCAAGTTTCCTGGTTTTTTTTTCTTATAACTTTTAAACTATTTTGAAATCATTTGTTACTATATTATGGCACAATAGTACATGCTTTCCATTTCACAGTTATAAACTTTAAAAAAATAGTGTTTCCAATAAAATTTAATTAGTATTTTGATTAAATAATAAATCACTCCAATCCCACCATTTACATTTCTACATTCCTAAAAAAATCTTCCGTATTTTTTATAATTGTATATGCGATGAAATTGAGTATATTATTATTATGATAATTTTATATTATTTAAGAATATTTTAAAGTGTCCTTTTGTTTCACAAAGCGTCGTAACAGATATTTTTTCCGTTACCTTCTTTTTAGATTTTTTTCTTAAATATAATATGCTCAAAATATTATCTTCTCTATAACACGGTTTATATACACTGTAATTCGTCAGGCATGCCTCTTTTTTATTTAATAATTCAAAATTTTAGTCTTGAACTTTTTAAACATATCTTAAGATCATATTTTAAAATAAATGAAATTTTTGTACCCCTTTGCACCAAATTTGGAAATTATTAACTAATTGAGTTTAAGGATTTTAACCGGTCTTCAAAATGAAACGTTTTGTTTATCGTGACAATTTTTTTCTTTTTATTGTTCAAATTTCGAATGTATTCAAATATATTTGGACACTTATTATATTTGGTAATGCGCGTAATGAGTAATATTCGAAAAAGATCGTGTAAATAAATAGTGTGATACCTTACTTAGCTGGTATTTATCACATAAGTTTAATCAATTTTGCGAAAAGCGTTGACTAGAAATCTATTATTGCCGAATATACACGATTTTTTAAACGCGGTTTTCGTTCCGATAATTATAATGATCGATTGAAAATTTTAAAGTTCATTTATTTATTATAAAAATCATTTAATTAATAATTTAAAGTGAAAAAGGGGTTATTTATTTTGAAAAAAAATGTTTGTTTAACCTTTGACTCCTCTATTAGGTACGTTAAAATCTTAAATATTCAAAAATATGGTATTTGAAAATTCTAAAAACTAGATTTTAAATAAGTGCATGATTAAAGGAAAAAAAGAGGGTGGACATATTTGGTAAATCACTCAGTATTATTTATACATATATACATATATTTCTGATATTTTTTGTTTGAAACGTAAAACAATTTAAATGATTTAAATCTCATTATTTTATTATCACTGTATTAGTTGTGATACTGCTAAATACTTGTATCCATACTGTATACTTTTGAGTGATTTGAAATACAATTTCAGATTACTTTGGAATATTTCATTTGTGGCATTTATTTATTATACACCAGTAATGATAACAATGATTAATGGGTTTGTTAATATTCCAATATATTACTATGCACTTTTAGTATTTATACTATCAATACACGATGTAAGTAATAATTTTTTATTAAATTAATAGGTAATTAAAATTAACATTATTTTAATTCAAATAATGTTATGGTAAATTGTATAGTAAATTATAAAAATATTTTGTTTAAATAAATAATTTTGTGATTTAATTTGTATATAGATTCTAGCGAACATAATGACTGTAGCTATATTGGCATTTTTCTCTCGAATAAGTGATTCTCGTTTTGGTGGTACTTATATGACATTATTGAATACACTTTCAAATTTGGGACATGCATGGTCGTCTTCAGTTGCTATTGGAATGATAGATTTTCTAACATTTAAAGAATGTTCATTAGATCGCAAGAATAATTGTTCTACCTTAAATCTGAAAAACGTAAGAAATTTATGAATAATTGATTAATGCATGTAATGACAATAATTAAGAATATTTATACGCTTGCAGTATCTATATGATAACATTCTAAAAAATTGTTCTGTTACATTTTTTCATAAACAAGTTGATTATTGTATTTAAATTTTAAATGTAAAGCCGAGGTCTGTATATTATATGGGCAAGTGGTATTTTTATGATAGATAAGAATCATAATATGTCAAGAAAAATATTTAAAATTGCAAAGTGTTCCAATTGAAAACGCAATATAATTTTTTACATAATATTATAAATTACTATAAATAAACAAAGCAGATAAAAAGTATTATTTATTTGTTTTGTTAATTTTTTGAAATGTAAAAAATATGGTTTCCATTTTTAATCTTTGTTTCAATCTATTTTTTAGGTTTGAACATTTTAATAGTATTAAAATAAATATTTAAGATATTTTTTTTTTTATTAAATTTATGACGATATTATTACCTATTTTATTTTTTCAATATAGGTGTGCGAAACAAATGGAGGTGATTGTAATGTTGTAGTGAACGGTTATTACGTAGAAACAGCCGTATGTACCGTGATCGGAATCGTTTGGTTTTTTATTTTCAGAATTATCCTTAAGAACATTCAAACTAAGGATTCTTCTCATTGGTTGGTCAACATAAAAAAACCTACCTGCAAGGAAAATAAAACAAGTGTAAATTAATCATCTATGTTCACTCTTAAAGTCATAATGAGTGAATATTTCGAATGTATAAAAATGTATTGTAATTTATTTATTTTTATTTATTATTTTAGTACTATGTATCGATAATTGTTATTAGGTTTTCTATTGAGAATTTAAATTATAATGTTATAGTAATGGTTATCAGTTATCACTTATTCATTTTATTTTATGTGAAATTGTACCATATTTCCTATATACTAGTTTGGTAAAAATAAAGTTAATCATTGTAAATTTAACCATGACGAAATCAAAAAAAGTTTTAACAGACATTTATTATGAACAGACTAGATTTGTACTCAAATACAGCTGATGAACAAATATTTAACATTTCTTATGATATTGGTCACCTCAAACGCCTAAAGATGTTCGATAGAGATACTACTTTAAACGTACATTATGTATTATTATTTGAAATTATACAGGTATTGTGTATTGTACTTATAATTACTTCAGATTATTTCAATAAAGAAGCTTTAAGTTAGTTAAGTATTTTCTACTTATAATTTGAGTAAAGATATTCAATAAATCATAATTTAATAGCATATGTATATGACTTACCAAATATTAATTTTATTTATTCATATAGTTTTATAATGTTGTAATTAAATAATTGATGCAAAGAAACCAGGTTTATTTTTTTTGGATGATTAAATTGAAATGATTAAATAAATGTATATAGGCGGATACAATGAATCGCAACAATGTGTATTATTCACTTTTTTATGTTAGAATCAAATGTATTACAAATAAATAATTTTAAAATGAAACATTTAGACTTATAGTAACTCAAATTATAATTGTTTAATATATATTTACTTTAGGAAGTTAACCTTTACGATTGATAATACTGTATGATTTAATGTTTAGGTACCAAGTAGTTGCGTGCCCGGCGATATTCGTTTGCGCACAGTACACAATTTTTTACCTAGAAACTAATAACTCGTTTACGTACAACTATTAAATCTCATTTCAATATAGTCTTATATTGTAATTTGCAGTGCTTAATAATGGACAAAATTAATCACATTTAAACAAATCATCAGAAATTGGCGCATGGCTTAACTGTTTTTCCGGTTTAAATTATTTACAAGCAGATGAAATCTCGGACGGCTTTATGGATTTGTTATCAAACGCGCCAACGACTATGTTTACCGAATTCACAAATCATACTCTGGAAAATTATATTTTGCTCGACTCTTATTTTCTTCCAGTTATGTGGGCAGTTGCATCAAATAATAACAATCTAGAGACATCAAATGGCGTGGAAAAATTTCATCGTCATTACGATAGTCAATTTTGCTTGTCACATCCAAAAATCTATCTGGTTATAGACATAATATTACGAATTCAATTAGAATCAGAGTTAAAGTTTAAATTTTAAATTAATAAAATAATATGACAAATTTAATTTAAATTAACAAAAAAAAAAGACATTTTTAATCACGTCTGTTGTATCCAGAGTACAGACAAAGACAGTTCTAAGCCTGTAAAAGTCAGAAGAAAAACGTTTGAAAACAATCTTACAAAGCAAGTAAACATTATTTTTGTAAGTTCTTTTGAGTTTTAGTAGGCTTTTGCTATAGTTTATGTGTGCAAACGAGTCTTATTTATGAGTTATTTATCGCATGTATTAAAAATTCGTGTGCGTAATTGAGTTGTACATTTATACGCAAACGAGTCGCAAAAAAGGTTAAATACACGCAAACAATCGGTTTGCCTTATGTGCCATATCACACGTTCCAATAAAAGATTAAATTAAATAGGTAGTAAATTGGCTATTACCATTAATATAAATTATCTCCTTATTATAATATCTCCTTTATTTTATTATCATGAAGTGTATTATGTTTAAAACAATTTAATTTATCTATTACTTAGAATATACTATTATAGAAGTATTTATTAGTACTTATATTAAAATTTTGTAATTTATATTAATATTGAATATTGAAATAAATTATTAATTAGTAAGTAGTTAATATGTTCACATTTTCAAAAAATTTGTTTATTTTTTGTGTAACTTAAACGACAACATTTGTAAAAATCGCTAAAAACTAATAAATATTTTGTAATTGAAGTTCATAAAAGCTGTTTTTTTATATCTAAGTTTTGAAAATTTAGTACAAAGTTCTTTACAAATAGCTTTTACAGAACCATCTATAAAATCTAATAAATATATAAAGGCAATTATTTTCTTTAGACATTTTAAGTTCAAATTTGAATGCAATTTATTTACTTAAAGATAAATAAATACCTATGTTGATTATTTTGTTTTAGCTTAAAAACATTATTCATGAAAACTTAAAACTTTTACTTATATTCTATTATTATGAATTTTATTTTAAACCTATGCAATGACATTATGATGTATTTAAAGATATTATCTTATTATACTATAAACTTAATTTTACTATTTTATGATGTTATTAAATGTTGAGTTATGTAAGTTGATATAAAATGGTATAAACACATATCTTTATAATAATAAAATAAATGCGATACTTTCGGTAAAAATTATACCAACCTATACTGTAATATTAAAAGTAAAATAAATGATTTCAATAAGTAAATATATCATAAAATAATAATTGATGATATAGATTGCCACTTTTACAGAATTTATTCACGCAGTATTGTATTTCATGTACAATGGTCAATGATATATCATTGAATTTAAATTTAATACACCTATAACAGTGACCCACTCGATACCAGTATAGCCGAACGGTATCCAATTGCCTACACTTTTTTTTCGTTGATCATATTTTTTGTTAAAAATCTTTGTTTCAATTATCTTAAATATGATTTAACTCTTTAAAAAGTACGTATAAGTAGGTTCAATACTTATTGAATGAGCGTTTTACTGAAGTAAGTCATCATAAAAATTGATACGTTATAATTTATAATACTTCATAGTTTTATCACTTTTTTAACATTTGTAATATAATAATAATTTGTATAAACACGCGTGTTATATAATTAATCTTGATATCCTATAAGCCATAAGGGCTGCCTAGTGAAATTCTCTCCCTCCCCCCACCTGGTCACTCTTCTCTAAATTCGTCGTTGCACCTTTCCTTTGTCTTAAAATAAATCAATATCCGTAAAAATGTTAATAATGTAATAAATTAAAACTCAATAACAGTATACATAAACATATTTTATGTGATGCGACGTATTATTTAATTTATTGTATACTGTATGATAAAGTAAAACGTGTATAAAATGGAATCTAAATAACGTAGAAACCTGACTTTTATGGTAAAATGTTACGATCTCAGTAAGCCTAATATATCTTTGAATAAATCGTTCCTTGAATAAAATGGAACCTGTTTAACGAGGTCATGGAAAAGATATTTTGCTATGTACCTGTATGGTATGGAAATATGTATATGCTACATGGTGTATTTTAAAATTATCAGTCAATGAATATAATCTATATCAGTAAAATAGAATATAGATTACTTTATTGCAACGCATTTGTCTTATCGATAAGTGTAGCAGTGTATGACACGGACTGCGTATACACTTATGTTCGATATGACATCCAAAAATAAATGTTTAATTCTAAATGAAGAAATTAATCTAATTAAGTTAAATGAAAGAGATAAATTACCAACAATAAAACAAATTTGTGAAAATTTAAACTGTAGAAAAAAATCAAGTATATATTATATTAAAGCAAAAAAAAAGAAATAAAAGAACAATGGATGAATGTTAATAAGCTTAACTATAAAAAAAAAATTTTAATTTAAAATTTAAAATATTTATTTATAATTTATGTTTTAGGAAATAGGAGAATAAAAATAAAACCAAAATCCAGTGCAAACGAAGAAATTAATAATTTGACTTATGAGTGTTAGAGCAAAAAATATATCGATCTCTAAACTAATTATCCAGTCTAAAACACGCCAAATTGCTGAACAAATGTCAACCACCAAACTTGAATCATTATTGATCTATTAATGATAATAATAATATTAATATTTTAAATTATATGTTATAATTTAATTGTATTTATATTATTTCAGTTATATTTTTAATTGTATGTTCACCCCAAGGTTAATATAATGATCAAGTATAAACTTATTTATATTTACATTAATTATTACGTTTATACGCACAGCTAAAACCGATTTAACACAATTCAAATTAGTTAACTGCCGGAGTTAAATGCATATAAATGGCTGTGAACTCGGTTTAATATCAATTCGGTTTGCCTAAAACGGTTTAGTTCATTCACATTTGAAATGCGCATAGGAAATGACTATGGGTATGCAAAATGCATGTAAACGGATCACACTAATATACATTATAACAACCAAATCAGGATTGCGACGTAGAGATACTAAAAATAATTAATTATTTATTCGAATTTAGGTAAAATGGTTTAAACTGTGCATATAAACGTTGCAACGTTAACTGGTTTTATGGAAGTGTATTACACTAATATGGTATTAGACGTGCATGTATAATTATTGTACCTATTATGACGAATTGATTCAATATAGATCAAGTTAATTTGAATTAATGGATGCATGTAAACAAGGTAAATGTTAGGTCTATTCTTTCGAATAGGGAGTGAAACACGATATATAGGTACTTTAGATAGTGTACTAATATAATAGTAATATCGTTTACTGTGTTGGATAAATAATCATTTTGAGTACATCTACGCTTAAATTAATTTAATAATAGTAGTGTTTCTTACCTTACTCAGTGTCTATTAAGATGGGAATTTTTTCTTATCCTCGTTAATACCCGCCAATACTAGTTTCAAATAATACATAACTTTAAAGTAAATATATTTTGGAGGTAAATACTGGTGCTAAATATTTTTTATCAACATTTTTATCGGTTTATATAAAAATGTTTATTATAATACACATCAATTGATAAAATATTACAATTATTATTACAACCAAGAAAATAAAGAACTCAGACCAAATAGTCCATGTTAGTGAACATTAATCATTAAAACTACAATTTTAATATAATAATTATATCAGCGCTATATAGCGAGCTTAATAAATATGTAATGTTTAATGAACATAGGGTTTCATATGAGGTATTATTAAAGATGTAGAAATAATGAGTATTCGGAACAATACACGATTCTGTCATACAATTTTTTTATGTCTTTATAATTCTTATATGTAGTAAAGAGTTAAAAGATATATTATGTTTTTTATACACATTTCATAAGTAACTTTACATCATATAATTTTATATTTATTAACAGAAAAATAAACTAATAAAGGTTTAGCAGAGTAAGAGGAAAATTATATTAAATTAATTTTTATTGTTAATAAATAAAAATAAATATACTTAAATATGTTGGTAATTTAATTAATTATAAATTAAAATCTCTTATTATGATAAATTTGAAAGTCAAACATTTTAGAATACCTACCCAGTATAATTCTCTACACTCTACAGTAATATAAACAAATATGACTGTATTTGGATTGAATTCATAACCTCAAAAATGTATTATTTATTCTATAGTAAATACAATTTATTATAATATTTGTGTCCCTGATGACAATAAACATGTGAAAATATTATATTTAAGTACTTAAGCACTTTTTTTTTTTTTAACATGAAAACGTGAGGGAAAAAGCCATCCGGTGAAAACACTTAAGCACTTTGAGTTAGTAATAAACAAGTAACGACAATAACAGAGTGCAGTATAAATTTTATTCGTTAAAAAACACTTATAATTCATTATTCCTTTAATAGTTAAAGATTTTAAAATCGTATGTACGTCATTAGTGTCCTTTTCTTAGATTACTAAAGAAGATCCGGCATAGTGAATATTTTTTATCATTAAATTTAAATTTTCAGTTGTTAGAATATTAGTATAATTTGCAATAAGCTATTTATGTGAAAGTTCACTTGGTCTTTAACAGACATAAATATTTTATTAATTAATATTACTTATTACACAAAAGATAGATATATCTTGGTTTTAAATTATTAAATGTACCTATATCAGGACTCAAATTCTATTAACAACGTGATTTGTTTATAAAACACCATTATATACACATATAATATGTCGATACTTATGATAAGATTACATTATAATATTAATTTGGAATAAAATTTAATTTAAAAAATGTATTTTTATATACCTATATGATTTATTACGAAACAAGTTTTATATTTTAATTAATGTGGTAGTATTAATTCATGCTAATATTTACAAATTTTACGTATACAATATTAGTTCCAGTTTATTAAGACTGAAAATATCACTTTTTCCTTTTCTAAAACTGTCCGGAAGTTGCGTTATGTGGTGAAATACATTTATTAAATGTGAGCGGGTGTAACAATATACATGTTTCTGACGCGTTATTTTTGCTTAGGTGAGAAGAACACAGGAACGTAGAGTACAAGAATATATAAATCATTGATATCTAGTCGGTCGAGCTTTGTTTGTCAAGTAGAGACAACGGTCATCTCTATATTTTTAAGTAACGTTTTTTAATTTTATTTACTATAGGTATAACAACCTATCTTATAAATAAATCATAATATTTTCTATTGTTTCAACTCGTACTCCGTTACTCCTATGATCTTTAATATACTACTCTCAAGAACAGGGTTACTCAGGTGATAGTTTACTGTATAATTTTGTTAATATTTAGTCATATAAATATCGGCATATCGCTATAATATCTTTTTTATTGCGTTAGTTTATGAACACAGGTCATAAGTTTCTATAGGATCTGTCATATTTGACTTAGAAAACTGTATTTGTATCAATTCAACAAATCGGTTCTTAAGACCGGTTCGTGTAGTGGGAGTAGCTAACCAACTACCTCTTAACTGGATAGAATTAGACATAAATATCGACGGTCACTTAACGGATGTAATAAACGGGTAGGTGTGTTGCAGGGGAAATCATAAACATATACACGATGTTGCGCAATAGCCGGTAACTACAGAATGTAGATTACGTTAAGCAGTTATTTTAACATCCCTGGAAAATATTTTAACATATTAAGTACTCATAATATCGATTTCAATATTTTTCATACTATTCTAATTTAAATTAAAGTATAGGCATTGCAATTTTAGACTATGATTTTAAGATATAAATATTATGTACATCGTGTCATTGTACATAGTAGTATAATAGGTACCTATACTGGCTATATCACGCATACTTAATTGTTGCAATATTCATTATTGGATATATTACTTGTATCATCTCTTTATTTGGCAAAAAGCGTCGAAAGCTTGAAGGCGGACAAAGCGTGTAATTTCATTTTTTTAATTACTAATGCTAAAATACCTGCAGACAATTTTAAAACCATTACCAGATCACAATATACTTGGCATAGTTATAGTACATAACTGTAATATGTAAGTAGCAGTGATATATGTACGGGTGGGTTTAACCTCCTCCCCCCTCCGAAATGTATTGTTATTACGGGCGTTGATTGTATAACTAGGAATGTTGAAATATTAAATTGTATTTAGTTATCATCCTGTAGAATTTAGTTATAAGTATTTATGCTCAACTGTAGAATCGATATTATAATATCTAATATTATTACTATTGTTTGGATTACATCACAACGTTTATTATTAAATTTTTTTGATAAAAAAGTAGTTGTGAATGAGCCTGAAAAAAGTGATCATATTCCTTGTTCATTTAATATAATTAATGACACCGACATTGAAAGTAATACTGATATGACTGATTTAATTGAATTAATTGAAATTCTTGATATTGGTTTATATATTTATAAGAATATCTAACAGTAAGTTGAAATATAATTTTTTGAAAAAACTATAGCAATCTCTTACTTCATACAACATTTCGGTAGTTTCAAAAAGAAAATTAAAATTTCAATTATCTTGGATCACGAGTTTCTCTTGGTTAATATATTCTAAAAAATTAGAAGGTTTGTTTTATAAAACATGTGTACTATTTACAAACGAAACTTTGGGGAAAGGTAGTTTTGTAAAAGCTGGTTATTAGCTAATAAACCATTTATTAGATGGAAAAATGCTGATATGTTAAATAAAATGATTATTCAACGAAGTAGTTCTGAATATGGCAACTCAATAGTATTAGGAAAGAAAAAAAATGGAGATTTTAGAATGTGCAATAACTAACACGTGCTAAATAAACATGTAATAAAATATCGATACCCACTAGTCACTACCGCTAATAGATGACAATTAAGATTTATATCAAGTAGAAAAAAAAACAAGAAAAGAAGAATTATAAAAAGGAAAAAAACAATGTGCAACAGATGAATAGCGTGGTCGTACGTTTATTTGGTTAAACACAAAACAAAAAAAAAAAGGAAAATAAGTAAACAGAATAATTGTCCAAAATGACTGGTTATACAACTTCAGAATGATTCTGAGAGAAGAATAATAAGTGTATTGTTTGTCGAATCGACGGTTATAGAAATGTGAAAAAAAATGCAACAGTAATATCGTCATTGGCGGTCGTGACGAAAAAACGAAAAATGACGACGGTGTTGACCGGTTCACGGTGGTGACAAAAGAGACCGATCGCCGGCAGCCGGTACTCGTCCGGCGCGACTTTTCTTCCTGTCCCGTCTAGGCCTTTATGGCGTTGGTGGGGGAGTTGACGATATCGCGTCTCTACCCGTGGTAATAGTGGTGACAGTGTAGATCGGTCGCTGCGGTGCTTATGCTTTGCACCGGCGACCGTTGCGTACTCTGTCAAGTAAAGTAACCTTAGAGTTATAGAGTATAAATCCTGTAGACTCGACTTATTAAATTATCCTTCGGACTGCACTCATTAACGTGGTCACCGAAGGACGGTCGAGTAAGCTCTTGCCGCAAGTATCTATATTTATTTGTTTGACGGTTTGAGAATCGAAAACCGAGATTCCTGTTATATATGTTGAGTCATTGCTTGGCGTATACAACAACATTTAGAGTACTTGTATAGAGTGCTAAAAACAATGAAAAAATAAACAGTTAGAGATCCGTTTGGACAAGATTATATTTTTTAAACGTGAGGTAATTTATTTTGACTATTATGTGAATCTAAATAGTATTCAACCGAATCTAAAATACGTGTTTCTATAATTGAAAATTATCCCGTGCCAAAAAATCATGTAGAACTCTTAAGTTTCATTGGCCTATAATTGTATTTCCTACGATTCATTCCGAATTTCATAATTGTTAAACCACTCTATATCTTACTTACAAAAAATATCCCATACGAATTTGGAGAAGAGCAGATAAGGTCGTTTAATTCTATCGAATTGAAATTTGGTGAACAATTATTGCTATATGTGTAATTCTAATTCAATAACGGAGCTTCACTGTGATGTTAGTAACCACAGATGGTTCTATTTTACTTCAAAAACAATCTGATATTTAGTAAATTTCATTCGATTTTTTATTATAACCATACAACTACCTGGTTCGAGTCGCAACACCATAGTTACGAACTAGAGATGCTATAGCATTTCATGATGATAACACTGCCCACCGGTGGTACTGTCGTTGTTAGTCCCCGGTCTGATGGGTCAGTAGTTGTGTGAGCGCGTCAGTGGACTGCTGTTGTGCTGTAAACTCGTGCTTTTCATAACGTTAGGTATATTAATTGAGTTTTCTTTTCTATATTTTGATGTTCGCACTGTACTGTTAACTAGTATTTTCTATTATAATAAACGAACAGTGTCAATAAATTGACTTGGTGCGTAGTATTTCTTTTGGATAAGGGCTGCAACCCTTCCTGTCTGTATAGTCTCTATAATATCTATACACACGTATGTATTTGCTCATATTTTTATTTATATTTGTCTGTGTTTAAATCTTTTAAGTCCATAAGTCTAGAAGTCTAGCTATAACCATTAGTTTTTAATAACTTTCAGTTTATGTTACAACATCCAAGCTCTAGTTATAATTAATATTGGATTAATCATATCTTTATGTTGTGAAAAGGTTATGTTCTTTCAAAATCTGCTCGATTTTATATGCATCATTTAGCCATTTAGCATTATGTTGAGCTTAAAGTTTAATCAAACAAGTCTTTAAAATCAATGTTGTCATTTTTCAGTGTTTAGAAATGGTATATATAATATTAAGTTGATTCAAATAAAATATGAAAGTAGGTATGTTATTACTTATTATTTAAATTAAAAAATATATTTAGGTACCTAAATTAGTCAAAAAATACAAGCGGCACTAGCTATTTGTATACATTTTAAATAATAAAATTGTACAACGATATGGTATAATCATTAGTTATTATCTATCTATCTACTGTATGAAATTTGTTTATAATTTTATATTATTAATAATAAATATTATGTCAAATTATTGAGAAGATAAAAACCGTTCCAATAATGGCATTGATTATAAAAATGCAGTACAATATACTGTATACACATTATATAATATTATCTTAATAAGAAGAAACAAATTACTAATGGCAATGGTGTTTTAGGTCAGGACACTGAAATTCTAAATGGCGTACCACTTGGTCCTATTATATTTATTATCTTTGTAAATAATATGTGAAATATAAATGTTGATGGTAAAATAGTAGTTTATGCTGATGATACGTGTATGCTATTTTTTAGTACAAATTGAGACAAAAAAATAAATTGAATTTTAATGAAGTAATTAAGTGGCTAAATATTAAAAAACTATCTTTACATTTTAACAAAACAATAATTATAGTTTTTTCAGTAAATAATATTTTAATACTGTTTGATAAAATTACTTTGCATAAATGTTCTAAAATGTCAAACTGTAACTACTCAAAAAAGAATATGGTCAAAAAAATCAAGATTTTTACTTGATTGTAACCTTAAATGAAAAATTTATATAGATAATATGATAGTTAAATTTCGTTCTATAATGTTTAAATTTAATATATTAAAACATATAATTTCACCTCATACATTGAGGATAGTATATCTTTATTTATACCAATCTATATTAAAATAATATGTCAATATGGTATAGTATGGTATGGTATAGGGTGGTGCTTCAAAAAATGTTCTTAATCCCTTAAGGGTACAACAAAATAATATAATCGTATATGTATAAGGAAAGACAATTTCATAAGGTCCCATATTCAAATTTCAAATTATGAAAAATTTAATATAATTCTGTTTGAATCGCTGTTAAAAAAAAAAAAAAAAAAAAAAATAGCTATAATGTTTGAACATAAAACATCTAATTTATTCTAACTATGCAAAATGATAAGCGTTTGAGTGGAAATAGATTATTTAATACTAAAATTATATATATTAGTTACTAAGTTTTGGTCAATAGTTCATTAATTATCTTAGTTTTTTTTAATTTTAACTGACGTATTTGACCTCATAGTAATATTATGAAATTAAATTAAGATACCAAACACACGTTTATTATTATCATAAATAGATGGATATCGTATAGATTATAAGGTTGTACAACAATGTATTAAACATATATTATTATTATTATTATTCATTGATAAAATTATCCCTAAAACCTCCCTTTTTTAATTAACAAAAAAAAATAATTAATATATTATTAGTATATATTACATGATTTAAAGAGGTTTTCACATAATTAGGTCATTTTTTTCTACTTTAAATATATTATGCTTAAATCTACTGTCACATAAAATTTGAAACACCCTGTGTATATTATATAGATAATAATATATACTAATGTATACAATAATATTATGTTTATGTATTATATGTAAAGTATGTATATACCATATACGTATTTTATGTTTCAATGAAAATAACTCACTAACCACATTATCAGGGTAGTATTTAGTATTTTTTTTTTTATGCAATATGGTTTTTCTTCTATATATTACATACCAGGCCGCTTATTTTATATAATAATATATTATTTTGTACCGGAGCTTAACTTAGTTTTCTAACTTATATTATACTCGTATGGTGTGACTGTGGAATGTAAATACTTGTCGAAAATGATTAAACTAATTCAAATTTTAAAATGTTTAATTGCCAGACACATTAACTGTAAACTTTAATATCTAAAATATTATTTATGCAATTCAAAAATAAAAATGAATTTTTTTTTGTTATTTTAGTTTAAGTATTAGCAAAAAATTAGGTATTTAAAACGTAAATAGTACATAGGTAGTAAATTAGTCAAGCGAAAATCGGCAGATAAGAACAAGTATAATCAACCGTTTAGTATATATTTTATATACTATTTAATATAAGCATGAATTTCTATTATAAAATGTTAATTTATTAATCATATTATATTAGAATAATTATATAATATGAAGGTGGTATCTATCGAGATAACAACAAATGTTAAAATACTTGTAATAGGAATGCATTGCTAATCAAAAATAATTGAATAAATTTTGAACTCAGTAAGTATCTATAGTTAATCTATATTATATTAAACATTTTTAAAATAAATTCTACTTTACCGATCCTGTTCTATATATTTCAAAAATTAAGTTCTATAAAACGCTATCACGCTGATAAATTTAACCTGAAGCAATTAATAAATTCTCTCATGGTAAACAGTGAAAAAAACAAATTAGCTTAATTATTTGATTTATTCAGAAACTTCAATTTAATTTTTAAATAAATTATGCGCATTTTTAAGTATTTATATTTTTCATACTCGATCATAACTCACTATAAAATAAAAAATCGTAAAAACCCAATGAGAGAACACAGATAATGTTCTTACTTAAAAGTTTGATAATAGGTCAATTCACTCTAATATAAAAACTAAAAACATACTCTTGAAACTGGAGAACGAAAATTTATTATGTCGTACGTGTTAAGATGGAGACAACACATGCGGTTGCGATGTAATATTTTTTCTATATTGATCGAATTTTTATTTTTATATCACTGCTTTCGAGCTTAAAGAACTGTTGATATCGGTTTTATTGATTCATACCTCTTACCAATACCAAGATTTTGTCCCCAATTGTTTAATAGTCTAAGACAAGTACGATACCATGAAGATAGCTAACTCATGAGTAGTCATGACTATTTGCTCAAACCAGCTGAATGTCTATAGTTTTAGTTTACTTACAAGTACAGCATATTAGGCACCATTATTGTTTTGCCTAAAAAAATGCGATCACTGTTTTTAGATTAACTGGATTATTACGCATTTGCGCATATTTAATACCTGGAATCTGTGCATTAATGTATAGACATTTCTTCTTATATATGTGATAAACTATAACTTAATTTATTATGGCTGGATCTAATATGTGAATAATGTTTTTTTTTTTTTATCATATTTACTATGTACGTGATTATGTTATGTATTCCCAATTAATATCATTAAGATAATTTTATTGTTATATTCTTATAAATAATATTGTGTATACGTAAAATAAATAATAAGTAATACGTTGTTAATAACCATCATAGTCTTCGGGCGTTAAATAATTATTATAAATTAGTTACAAACGACCAGAGGAACATATTATTACCGTCCTATGTTTTGAATTTATAACAAGTAATATTTTTTATATTTAATCAATTAACAAGTACTTACTATAATATATCATTATTACAATCTATTATTATATGTGTGAAATTACTTTGGTTATGCGTTTAATATTGCTCATAAGTCATAACTCACCTCAAAGGATAGACCATTTTCAACCTCGTGGTTCCGAATAACTAAATATACATTATATATTAAATAATAATCATAAAATAAATGAAAATTAAATTTAACATCATCTTAAGCCTTAAGATGATGGTTGTAACCGTTAACCGATAATATTGCGTGTTGTCAAACTCTGTCGTTAACTGGTTTTACTGATTTAGTTATGTTCCTACTTCAAATATATATAATGGACTGATTATTAATCTTTCAGTTTAACGTTGGACTTTGACCGATCACCATCTTACATACAATATTATACTTTCATCAAACCATCTAAATATCGCAGGAAATATTTACATCAAACATCATTTCTAGTATTTTTAATAAATGAAGCGTTAGATAATATTATAATATCTTAAGTAGGTTTAATGTTCGTTTTTAATTCATACGTAATTCGTCATTAAAATACTAAAAAACTTTTTTTTATATTTATTTTAATCTTTATTAATCGTAATCGATACAAATACGTTTATAATTGTTTATAAAATTCTTACTTCATGAATAACACAGTATTTTAGAAGATAATAATTAAAAAAAGAATTAAATATAAATATTTACATATATATATATATTATTTTTAAACTAAATAAATAATTCATATGATAAAAATTGTATTGTCGTTGATTACTTAATTAGATGAACATTATTTTGAATTGATATTAACAATATATTTAACAATACTTATTAAATACTTAATTAAAATAATCATATTGCCGTATTTTATTTTTGTAATTATATAACATGTAAAAAATATAATGAATATGGTATGGAAATATTCAAATAAAGTTGCATTATTTTGTTTACTGTTTAGTATCACCAATCCGTGTTAACTAGTTAAATTTAAAAACAGAATTGTTTGTTAACGACCAAGTTCTATAGAATAATAACAAAACATGAAAAAATTAATCAAGCATAATGATGATCCAACTGAGGTGTATATAGTATCGCTCAAATCTAAGTCAGAAAAACCAAACCTGGACGAAGATTTGTTTAATATAATCCTATTAATATTACTATACACAATACAAGGATTTCCTGTTGGTATATCCACAGCTCTTCCATTGATTTTACAGAGTAAAGGACTTATAACGTTTGACGATCAAGTAAGTGGATAGGTTTTTATTAACTTTTTTTTCATTTAAAGTTTAATTATTTCAAAAAGAGATTAATGTATACAAAGTCCATGTATTATAAAACACAAAATTTATTTTTAAGCTTCGATAAAGTAATTTTTTTAAATGTGATATTATTGATTACAATATTATAATATAATTATTAATTTAAAAACCACTGTAATGGATGGTTCATTTATCAAACAACACACATTATTTAAAAATCTATTAGCGTTTTTGAAAAACATGTTTTTTCTTAATTATTTCAAGTCAAAATAAAACAATTTTTTTAATTATTTATATATATATGTATTTTTTTATCGTTATAAGGTTTTTACTTTTTAATGACTGCATACATTTGTAATTTCATACTCTGAAGTAAAAACTTTTTGAAGTACTTGTTTTGATACATAAAAATCAAGGTTATTATAAATATTTTTAGTTTAGGTATCTAAACTAAAAAGTAGACTAGAGTAGATTAAAAAGTCTTAAAGAGTAGATTATTAGACCAAAATTTTGCAGGTATTCCATATACTTCTCCATTATGCTCTAATAAACTTTAGATATTTATAAATCATTAACTTGTAATAGCTTTGTACTGAAAAATATAAAAAAAAAAATCATTAATTACCTACCTACTCGTATAACCAAATTTCGATTTTTTTGTATCGAAATATTTCGGAAAATATTCTACTTCAGAATATGAAATTTAAAACGTATATTATCATTAAAAAAATTATTTTATTCTGACTAGAAATTAAATACATTTTTTTTTAAACACATTTTTAATATAACAAAATATTAAATAATATACTTTGAATAATTATTTAATTTTCAATACTGCTCGCGAAATTATTGTTTTTTTTTTTTTTTATTTTAGGCATTATTTAGTATAGCATTATGGCCTTACTGTATTAAACTTTTATGGGCTCCAATTATTGATGCACTCTATATAAACTCGATCGGTAGACGAAAATCCTGGCTATTACCTCTTCAAATATTAATGGGTATGTAAATTAATTTTTTAACATATACCTAATTGTAGGTATTTACAAGGTATAAAAATATAGAACAACAAAGTTCATATGATAAATTAAAATAATATTTATGCATTATACCCTTCAATATGGTATGTTAACATAGAACATAAACATTACTGTAATAATGTCTACTTACAAATTATTTACTTTGCAGTACCTGCAATACTTGTAAATTCAGAATTTATTAACTAGATTTTGGTAACAAACAGGGATCACATTTTTTTATATGGCCATCAATATGGATGATTGGTTGCCCGAGACAGGACAACCAAATCTTAAAATGTTAGTGTGTATAATCTTCGTCGTTAATTTTTTATCTGCAACTCAAGATATTGCCGTCGATGGTTGGTCATTGTCGGTGTTAAAGAAGTGAGTACCTCAAAAGATTTACCCAATTTACAATAACATTTTGAAATAGTATTTTTCTTGTTTTATTTTATGCAGGAAAAACATAAGTTATGCCTCTGTGTGTAATTCTATAGGAGTACCGATTGGAATGTGTACAGGTTCAGTTTGTTTCACTTTGCTGATATCTGAGCAGTTTAGCGTCAAATATTTAGGAACTTCTATTGGTACAGGAGGAATTATAACTATGAAAAGTACGAACATAAAATTAAATTGAATACACACATTGATTTAGATATTATTTCACACGATATTTTATTTATTTTCGTTAAGGTTAATTTCTATTACATAACTTACAATACTTCAAGTACCCAACAATATAATATATCTAAATATAATAATTTCTTTGTACGTAAAAAAAAGATAAAGCTTTTAATTTTTTAAATGATTGGTGTAGACATGGTAAATATAATTGTAGGTTTGTAATAATTTATCAGTAGCATACTTTTATATTTTAGTCATTTTAAACAGTTAACAGCAAGTTTAATAATTAGTACAGAAAATATAGATACTTTAATTTAGGCCCACATTTTTTCACCCACTGTTCTGTTTAGAATACAATTGATCAGCCCATCAAGAAAAAATTTAAATTGTGCGTATAGAAGATAGATCTCTACCGTATTTTTTTGTTTTACTTTATTAGCTAATGATCTTTTTTTTTTACATTTTTATCTAATCAGAAAAAAATCTTATTAAGAAAGTGTATTTTATTGAAACTAACTATTTTTTATTATTATTTTATATTTTAATTAGTTTTTTTCATATATTTTATTTGTTTAGGTTTTTTTAATATTTGTACAATCATAATTATAGCAGTTACAATAATCATCGGATTGTTTAAAAATGAAAAGTATACAATGGAAGATGACTACGAACAAATTAGTGTTTGTCAGAATTATCAATTATTGTGGGACATTATAAAGCTACCTCGCATTAGAGTATTGGCGCTAGTATTGTTTACAGCAAGGGTAAAAAATAATAATAATAAATCATACTCTCTCATATATTTATTTAATTTAAACTATCTTACTTAGAGACTGTAATATTAAAATAATAAATTTATACTACAGTGATTAAGTATATAATGAATTTTATTTTTAATATGTAAGTTTAAAGATATTTTTTTTATTGTTCTTAAAATTATATAATTTCTGCTTCGAATACTAAGGCCATTAGCAATATGTTTATTGTTTATATATATATATATATATATATATATATATATACATTAAATTAAAAAAAAAAAAAAATTTAAATTAAATAATTAGATATTTATGCACATTTCAATATTTGTTGGCTATATTAGATTTGATATTTTGATTAATTTAATTTAGAATTGTATTTGTGTTATTCATCTAAAAAAATATAACTTCTAACATATTTTAATATTTTTATGATCCAAATAAAATACGTAGATCTGAATTGAACAGTGTTACGTTTACATTAATTTATAATTTTTTTTTTGACATTAAAGATTTAAATATTCACAAAATATTTATTTCAGTATTTTACATAGATATTTATCATTTTAATAAAATATTTATTGATTTCGGGTCATGGTTTAAACATTTTATTCTTAATTTAAATTTCTAATACCTGAAAAATACATAATTATTTTTACATTTTATTAACATTATATATTATGTTTGATTATTATAACAATCACAGGGCTGTAAATAAAATAATATTTTTTATTTTCAGAATTCAAAATAAGTGAGATACAAATTTGATTTAACTATTCTAAAATATAACATTTTATTTTGCACATTTTTGTGTGTTTAAGTCAGTTCATATAAATATATATAGTGTGTTTTCTTTTTAAATGTCTTTATTATACCTATATTTAGTTGGAAAATTGTGATTTTAGATAAAATTAATGTATATTTTGTACTTAAATATGATATTATAAAAATGTTCATTATACGAGTACATAGTTTTTTTTTTATATAGGCTTTGTATTTATTGGCCTATTTACTAAATCTTGTAAGAATAATATTTAACGTTTGAAATTGAGTATATATGTATAAGTATACTCGTATAGAATTGAAAATAATATCTCTGCCTACAAAATAATTGATTTTTTTTTAAATATTTTTATTGTAAAGCTTATTAAATACCTACAAAACCTTGAAAATAAATGAGTAAATATATATGTATATATATATAAATATATAGTAAATACATAATATATTCAATGCAGTTATTAGATATTAAGAAGTACATAAATTAACTTTTCATTTATTAATCTAAAACCACGAAAACAATAAAATGCTTGAACAGAAAAAATAATTTAAGTACATTTATTTTTACAAAATTCTAATATTTTATGCTTACTATTTATTATATTTCTAGTAATATTATACATAATAGTTAAATTACGTTATTTGGTATATTTTTGAATTTAACTAAAAATATTCTTCTATTTTGAATGTATATTTTATGTCTTTTTAGAGCATAGTATTCTCGTTATTAATAAATATAGCTGAAGAACTAGTTTTAATAAGTAAACATTTTAAAATTTAAAAACTTAACAGTGTAACACTCATAGCAGTACTTAAAAAATATAAAAACACGTATTGAACTATTGGTTTATTGAGCTTTAAAGTATCAGCATTTAATTAGCATATATTATATAATATTAACATTTAATAAGTATAGTATTATTATAATGTAACATTTAAATATTTAAAATACACTTAATCTAATATATTTTTATTATAAATATTTCAGTAAATAATGATTTTACTGCAGTATTTGTTATTTTAAATGTTTTATCTCTGTATTTTAGATAGGATTTACTACTTTGGAAATTATACCAAACCTGAAATTAATTGATGCTGGTGTACCTAAGGATGAAATTATGATAATAACTTTAGTGATGTATATAGTTAAATTTTTTTTCCCAATAATTGTAAGTAAATATGTTACGAGTTCAAAGCCAATGAGTTACTATCTGAAAATGACACCTATTAGGTAAATAGATTTAGTTATAAGTTATCAAACATATATGATATTGTTATTGAATATTACGATTATTATACTAATTTATTTGAATAATTCACACTAATTTAGCAGTTATCAGAATTTTTATAATGTTATATATTGTTCACAACTGATTTTTTTAATTACGAAAAAAAATTAACATTATGCATCATCGATAACTAAAATATGAGTTATATTTAGTACAATATTTGTGGCATATCTACCTAATATAACAATTTGATAAGTTGTAAAAATTAAAAAGAAATACCATGACTTATACCACAAAGGCCTCTGTAAATATTTAAACGTGTACTGATTATGTGAATATAAATTGCAAAATTTCTTACAAAATTACCCTAATATCGTATTTATATAAATTTGACAATTTTCACTCTGAAAATAAAAATGTTCTTGTTTGATTACGTATAATATCTTGACCAAAAAAAAATCCTAATGACCTAATCTATTTTAAGGTAATTAAATTCTTAATTATACATATTTAACTATTGTTACAAGTTATAAATGTTATAATTTTATGATAGAAATAATATTAAACAATATATATATATATATATATATATATATATATATATGTATCACACATAATAAAACTTATTTATTATTGTGATATTATTTAGAGCCCACAGGACTAATAGAAAAAAAATTTTTAACACATTTTAATGTAATTTAAAGACAGTTAATTATTTAAGACATTATATATTTTAATAAAAATAAATGATCAAATATAAAATATTTAAAGTAATTATTATAAGCCATTAAATACCACTTAAATATTTATGATTATTTCTGATTTTTTTTTAACTAATCTTCTATTTTAAAACGTTTATCTGTGTACAAATTTTGAAAATATTTATGTAAAACTCTATGCAAGTTAAATATTACCTAGGTAAAATAATAATAAAAAAAAAAATAAATAATACCATAAACTTTTAATATGATATTTTAGTTATACTGGTACTAACATTTTTACTTTTAAAGTTAACCTGTGCGCGGGTAAAAAGAGCTCATCTAAGCCATCTTAAGTGCAATGAGATTAATGGGTGAAAGTTTTTATTAATACAATTTAATTTGTGAAATAATACTATAAATATATTTACCGACATACCACTAATTACTATGTACCTAATTAAGTATGTGATATGTTAATTAAATAACATAATATTTTATTTTAACAAAATTTTTTCCAGATTAATGTGGGGTATTGTATTTGCTGTGCTAGTTTATTATACACCAAATTTTATACAGAAAAAACACGGACATATTATTATACCGCAATATTATTATCTTATATTAGGATTAGTATCTCTTGTAAACGAGGTGAGTTAATAAATCTATAGACTATAATACTTCTTTAGTCTAAATATTCCTTTAATTATAAAAAAATTATAATTAAAGGAATATTTATATAATTATAAATAACTATATTATGTATTTCTTAACGTTAATATTAAATTGTAAACTATTTATTTATTTTTTAAATATCAAGTATTTTTAATATCTCTCGCTATATAATAATAAGAATGTATATATCGTTATAATTCACGGATTATCATTATTTAAGACAACATAGATATTTTTTTTAAATAATTTTAAGTTATTATAAAACAAAATTTTTGGACAAAAATGGTATTTTTACTATTTTTTTTATTACTGTCGGTTTTTAAATATTTTTTTTTATTAATCTTAATAAACCCGGAAACTAAGGCCATTATTTGTGGATAGGAACAGTAAGTTTTTTTGTGTAAGGTTTGATTGTAAAGTCTGGTTACTACGGTTAGAACACGTGTGTGTATGTGTGTGCGCCATTGATTTATCACTAAGAACTCGGATGGTCACCAAGCTAGCGACGTCGACCGATGCTTGACCTCAGAACACATAAGTGACTGAGACCAACTACCGCACCACACTAGGCCAAAATATTTTATTATTTTAAATGAAAATATACATTTTTAACTTCATACTTTTAAGCAGGACATTATTTAGAATATTTTGATCTATAAAAATTAAATTTTGAACAAGTTGTTTATTTATTGTAAGTACTCATTTAAAGTTTAGATGAACAGAGTAATAAACAAACATTTTGATATATCCCTGTACCATTTCACTCCACCATCTAAACATTGAACATTTATAATTTATAAAATACTTGTCCAAATTTGATTTTTATGTATCAAAGTATTTAAAAAAATATTTCTAACAAGGAATTAAAATTGTATATTGTCATAAAAAAGTAAATAATAAAATAATATTTTAAAGATAAAAAAAAAACAAAAACATATTTATGTTTTTGAAGAATGTTGTTTTTACAACCTTAAATTATACATATGTATATAAATATTTATAATTGAAATTTTATGTTGAATAGATCACCAGATATGAAAATATTTATCAAACAATAATGTTAAAAAATATGAGTTATGAAAAATAAAAAATAATATATCCTAATTTTTTTTTTTTTAGCTATTAAGTTTATTTTTGTTGCTGACACTAGTTGCATTTTTCTGTAAAATAAGTGATCCTCATTTTGGTGGAACCTATATGACATTATATAACACATTTTACTTTTCGGGTTGGTTAATATCAAATACCTTGATTTATAAACTGATTGATATTTTGACTTTTAGTGAATGTTCAAATGATATTCAAAATAAGTGTAACACAGAAAAGTTAAAAAATGTAAGATATTTTTAAATATTTTTTTTATAGAAATTAAATCGTTTATCTTTAATTATATTTTATGAAAAAAAATCTTTAAGTTTAAAAATTGTGTTTAATTTAAGTTAATCTTTAATTTTTTTTTTTTTTTTTTAGTTATGCACTAATAATTATGGAATTTGTGTAATTCATAAGGACGGATACTATGTAGCAGTATTCATATGCACGATTCTTGGGTTAATTTGGTACTTAAGTTTTAAAAATATTATAAAAAAATACCAATTAGTGGACCTTTACCATTTCATGGTACATAAGAAACAACTGAATGCTGAAGAACTGAACACACAATGAGTTATATCTTCAGCGTAATTTCAAACAATAACCATATTAAATACTTAAAAAATTTAAGTTTATTTTAAATATTTTAGTGTAAATTAAAACATTTAAAGTAAGATTAAAAAGATAAAATCATTTACGTTCTTAATACGTACAATTATTTGATTACATAAAATAAAATTGTAACATTTTTCTTTTTTTTTTATATATAATTACAAATGGTTATTTATTAAACCAATTTGTTATATTTTATGTATATTCAATAAATATTAAGTAAATTGTTATTGTGATGTAATGCGTATAAAGATTTAATAATAAGTTGGATTTTTTAATATTTACAAATGTTTATAAGAGAGTAGAAAATTTAAACTAAATATGTAAGAATAAGCGTTTAACTTATCTGTATAAGATGTCTTACAATATAAAATGTTTTTATTTTGTTTTTGTTTTTATACATGACTTAAAGTTATGTATAAAAAATATGATATTATATATTATATTTATATATTTAAATATGATTTAAAGTCATATTGATCCACCAGTTTTTGTTTAAATTATAATATATTAAATTAAGTATTACTCGTACTTAGATTACAATTTGATAATAAAAAAATTATTTATTTCTAATTCTCGAAATATATGCTTAAATAAATTAAACTTGAATCTCTGTTTGAGCTTGATGATTGGTTGAATATGTGCAAGTAATATTTCATAATTAAAAAAAAAATAATAATATCCCTTGTAAAATTTAAAATACTACAGTAGTTACAGTTGAGTATATAGTATTAAATAACTAAGGCTCTATTTTTATAAGTGTAGTTTTTATTTAAATATTTTTGTGGTCGTTTTGGCGGCATTTTTTTTTCTGTTTTGTGTTTTCAAATTGATATAATTATTGTTGTTGAGTCTTAATTAAATGTGTTTTAAAATACTAAATTAATTTATTAGTAACTACAAATGTATAATCCTTTTGGAGTTTTGCAGCATAAAAAAGATAGTTAGATAAATAAACTTAAGATTATATTACTGCAAAGTATTTTTTATTTAATAGTTGCTATTATACACAATTTAAAACAAAAATTAAAACTATGGTTTTAAACAGAAAAAAATCATTTTTTTCGCTATTAGATTTTTTTCTTATGGTTGATTATTGGTTTTAAATAAATAGTATAATATAAGTTATATAAAGTAATTTATTTTCTAAGATTTTTAAATGCTAACGTTAAACCTAACCTAACGTATAATAGTTATTGCTTTCTAAACACTAATAAGTAGCTATCGTATTCGACTAACTGCATAAAATAGGGAAGTTTACTATTTATATTGGAACAGCGGATACCAAGATCAAAATATTTAGAAGAAATGTGGAGTCAAATAATAATTTTCCATCTTAAAAATATCCTATATTAAAATATGTCTTATTACATTTTTTTGTTTTTTTCACTTTTTAAGTTTAAATTTATTATTATAGTTAATCATTGCACTTATAGCGCCAACTCTTGTACTCTCGTTACCATACCTAGATTATATTCAACTAACACATCACATAATATAATCTTATTTTTAGGTTTCTTAGATATTAAGTTGAGCAATCTAATAAAGTCAACGACATAGAAATATTGATTATTGTTATTATCAAATTATATAATATAGTAGATTAGGTGACAGTTTATCGTAGGAAGATATGTCTAACAAAGTTTATTTATTAAATATACATAAAATATAATAAATTGGTTTAATAAATAATCATTTGTAATGATAAAAAAAAAAAAAAAAAAAAATGTTACAATTTTATTTTATATAATCAAGTATGATTATCAATATTAGAATACTTAAAGATTGAAATATTTTTTCATAAATTTCTTAGATAAAAAAAATACCAAATTAGTGCACTGCAATATTGCCAATTGGGTTAAGAATTTATCAATTATTTTAATTGTATAAGTTTTTAAAAATTATTTTCTATGAAATGAAAAATTATTATTATTACTTAATTGATATATTTTTTATAATAATAATTCATAATTATCATTAATTCAATTTATAGTTACAATAAAATTTAGATATTTTTAATTTTGTTTAAAAATAATTAAAATCCCTTCTTGCGCTAACGACAATATCACGTTGAATGTACCAGTTCTCGTCCGATCACTGAAATTAGGTGACGTCGGGCGTAGTTATTACTTGGATGGGTGACTGCTTGGGAACACTATTATGTGCCGTAGGCATTTTTCTTGTATTGTTGTTTATATCATTAAAGATACAATTATGCAAAAATTCTTAATTTTTTAATCTTTATAATAATAAACCAGTCTTGTGTATAATACTTTTCAAGTGTATTTAGAATACGTAATTAATGTCATTTGTATTTCTTTATAAATAATTTTTAAAAGTATTCAAAACACTTAAATATCTAATAAATTCTTTTTTTTGTTATAGGTAATTAAATTATTTTTTATTAATAATTAAGAAAAATAATCCACTATTGTTGATATTTTATAGTTAATGGTCTTAAGTGAAATTATGAATGAATTAAAATTTGTTTTTAAAAATTGTATCTTATAAAATATAGATCAGTTAACTTGATGAACGAAAAGTACATATATTTAACGAAAAAAGCATTATCGATAGGAAAATATGAAAGTTATTATTAAACAAAATGTTTTATGTATTTAAGGAGTTCGAAAATACTCGTATATTTTGAAGAAAATTAAAATATACTACTCCATTCAAATAATATGTAATTTAGTAAGTATTTAAACTAATTTATCGACTAACTTTGTTCAAATGGTTCTTGTTTGGTACCACATTGATTTTATGCGTAATCGTATCAATTGTGAAAATATGAAATTATACATAAATACTTGCTGTTTGACCCAAACCTTCACGTCACAACACGATTGCATGTGTTCAGCGTAACGTAATAATCATTAAATTATATTTTTTTAGTATAAATACCTAATTTGTTTGAATTAGTCAAGTAGACGTTTTAGAAGGGCAGTGCTGCATACACATAGTACACGGGACCTTACGAGTTCACTTTTAATATCGATCTTTCAACCGATTCCCGACGCGAACGAGTAATATCGCTAATACCACGTTCAGAGTGCCGTGAAAGACACGTCAAGTGTTTAACCACGACTATAGTCTATACGTATAAAATACATGGGACCAACGTATATTATTATTATTAAAATATTTTTTTAAAACGTCAAACTCGAGCTCAAACGTTCACGTACCAGCTACCACCTATGTATTATTATAATTTAAAATAATAATATGCGCGTAAGTAAACGTTCGTTTTTATTTTACGCACACGATAATAATATTATTATTATACCTGTATCGTTGTAATACCGGCCGTGAACTTATTATAAAGCGTGTTTATACATTCGAATCGTTTGGCGTTTAAAAAAAAAAAACAATATACAAAATATAGGTACGCAAGGTGTGGTTGGTTGTATGATTGTGTTAAGGATTGTTGTTATAGTATTCGTAATGCGCCGTCGAAAGTATACCCATTACGAGAATACATGTTTAAGATTCAATTTAATACGACTACACTGAACTATTAATACTACTAACGGATAGAACGTAATATGTACAGTATCAACGTCACTTCGCAGTTACATGACTTGTATTCATTAAGTGAATTTACTCATACCTTTAAATGTTTCCACATTTTCGTAAGAATAATGTCTAATAGGTAAAGAAAATGAAATTTTTTTTTTAAATTAAAAATTAATTTTATTTCTTTACCCACATCGTGTAATCTTTCATTATTTGTCTATTAACATTGTTTTTGGATTAGTTAAAAATTAAAATATTTTGTTCTACCAAGGTTATTCTTAGGAATCAACGCATAATATAATCACGTTACTATCATAACAACCTAAAAACTAGTTACATAGACAATTTTTTTCTAAATATTATATTTATTATAAAATATATAATAATAATTAATATTATAATGTAAGCACATTTCGCTTTATTATTTATTTTATTTTATTTTATATTAGAATGTTTTCTTTAATATAATATAACAACTAATAAGGAAAAATATTTTGCACGATAAATTACAAAATTATTACGCTAAGAAGCCGAAGAAAAAATCGTTTAATTAAAAAATAGATTAAAATAATTCTAAAAATTGAAACAGATATAACTAAAATGCAAATATTTTATCATATAAGAAATTTAATAAAATAAATTATCAAGTAATAAATTAAAAAACAATGTTGAATGGAAATGTATAATTATAGATTATTGTAGTATTTTGAACAACTTTTATTACGATTTTTGATTTTTACTAAATAATTACCTACTCAATATTACTTAGATAATTTAATGAAAAATTTGTTCATCAAGTTATTGTTAAATATAAAATAATTATTCATTTATTTTAATAAAAATAGATTTAAATAAAAAATAAGAATAATATTAAATTGTACGATAATAATATTAATATCATTAATTATCTATGTAATTTTTTTCTTAAGTAGGTATTTTAATATCTATTTTATAAATAGAATTAAGCATTTAGTAATAAAGTGATTATATTGATATTAAATAAATAAATTATAGAAAATAAATTAACTAAATAACTAAGTGGGTTTTTATAATATAAAAATATAATTACTATAAATAGATTTAAAAGTAAAAATGATTTTAAAGTATACAATTAAAAGATTCACAATGATTAATAAGTAATGAGAATTAAATTAATTTTATTCACTTAATGAAAAGGGGTAAAACATGTTTCAGTATTGAGTAGGTAGTAAACTGTTATTTTCATCATAGTATGAAATGAGCGATTTCACTAAATTGATCAAACAATACTACAACGAATGATGATGCACGAAGATTGATTTAATTCATCTAAAATTAGTTAAATTAGATGTGATAGTCGTGGTAACGATCAGTTGCATACGAATAATTGCGTCCCTGATATAAAAATTGCGATTTGCGGCATACTAATTGCATCCCGGGTTTTTTATACTATTATACTAATAATTGCGTATTTGCGTCCCGATAATATTTAAAAACTACTAGGTTCAACTACACGGACAACAAATAGTTAT